AGACTTGATTGACATCTTCAGAACTTTTCAGCCCAAAACTACAGAATATACTTTCTTCTCAAGTGCACATGGGACATTTTCAAAGATAGACTTCATATTGGGACACAGGCAAAGTCCCTTCAAATTCAAGAAGATTGAAATCATATCAAGCATCTTCTCAGATAACAATGGAATAATATTAGAAAACAACTACACTAAAAACAATCAAAAAAATTCAAGCACTTGGAAGCTAAATTGCATGTTATTAAAAAATGACAGGGTTACCAAAGAGATAAAAGAAGAAATGAAAAACATCCTGGAAACAAATGACAGTGAAAACACAGCAATCCAAAATCTATGGGACACAGTGAAAGCAGTCCTAAGAGGGAAGTTCATAGCATTACAGACCTATCTCAAAAAAAATTGTTTTAAAAACTGATAAAAAATTATCTAACTCTACAACTTAAAGAATTAGAAAGAGAGCAACAAGACTGTTATTCCACAGAGGGGAGTAAATAATAAAGATCAGAGGAGAAATAAATGACATTGAGACCAATAAAACAAAAAACACAATGAAAAGATCAATGAAACCAAGAGATGGTTCTTTGAAAGGATAAAGAAGATTGATGAACCTCTAGCCAGGCTCACCAAGAAGCAAAGAGAGAGGACTCAAATAAACAAAATCAGAAATGAAAGAGGCAATATAACAACAGACCCCAGAGACATACAAATGATTGTATAAAAAATACTATGAACAACTCTAGTCCAACACACTGGTCAACCTAGAAGAAATAAACATATTCCTAGAAAAATATGGCCTCCCAAGACTCAATGAAGAAGAATCTAAAAATCTGAATAGCCCATTAACTATGGAGGAAATTGAAGCAGTACTCAAAAAAACTTTCAGTAAACAAAAGCCCTGGACCAGAAGGCTTCACAGGGGATTTTTATAAAACATTCAGAGAAAAAATAAAACCTATCCTCCTCAGACTAGTCCAAACAATTCAAGAGGAAGGAACACTTTCAAGCTCTTTCTACGAGGCCAGCATTACCAATCCCCAAAACAGATAAAGACACTATAAAGAAAGAGCATTACAGACCAGTATCTCTGATGAACATAGATGCTAAAATCCCAGCAAATCGGATCCAGCATAACATCAGAAAAATCATACACCATGACCCAGTGAGATTTATTCTGGGCATGCAGGAATGGTACAACAGCCACAGATCAATAAACATGATACATCACATAAACAAATTGAGAGACAAAAATCACATAGTCACATCAGTTGATTCAGAAAAAGTATTGGACAAAATACAACACCTTTTCTTGATTAAAAGTCTCAGCAAAGTGGGAATAAAGGGATCATACCTCAACATAATAAAGTCCTTATATGAAAAACCCACAGCCAACATCATACTCAATGGGCAAAAACTAATACCATATCGCCTAAGAACAGGAACAAAACAGGGATGCCTACACTGCTATGCTCAATTAATATTTGACAAAGGAGGCAAGAGCACACAATGGAGTCAAGACAGTCTCTTCAATAAATGGTGTTGGAAAAATTGTAACATATATGCAAAAAAACATGAAACTAGACCACCAACTTACACCATACACAAAAATAAACTTAAAATGCATAAAAGACTTAAATGTAAGATGGGAAACCATGAAAATCTTAGAAGACTCCATAGGCAGCAAAATATCAGACATATGTTGCAGCAATATTTTTAATGATACAGCTCCTGGTGTAATGGAAACTAAGGAGAAAATAAACAAATGGGACTACATCAAAATAAAAAGCTTCTGCACTGCAAAAGAAACCATCAACAACAATAAGAAAGCCAACTGCATGGGAGAACATATTGCCAATGTTATAGCCAATAAGGGTTTAATCTCCAAATTTTATAGGGAACCCATACATCTTAACAAAAAGACGTTTAAAAAATCTAATAAAAAATGGGCAAAAGACCTAAATAGACACTTTTTGAAAGTGGACATACAGAAGGCCAAGAGACATATGGAAACATGCTCAAAGTCACTGATCATCTGAGTGATACAAATCAAAACGACAATGAGGCATCACTTCACACCTGTCAGAATGGCTATCATCAACAAATCAACAATCGACAAGTACTGCCGAGGATGTGGAGAATACTGCTGATGGGAATGTAAACTGGTGCAGCCATTGTAGAAAACAGTATGGGTTTCCTCAAAAAATAAAAAATTGGACCTCCCATTTGACCCAGTGATCCCACTTCTAGGAATATATTCCAGGGGGGTAAGCCTAAGTGCCCATCAGCAGATGAGTGGATTAAAAAACAATGGTACATCTACACAATGGAATACTATACTGCTGTAAAAAAGAAAGAATTCATACCAATTGCAACAGCATGGATGGACCTGGAGAGCATTATGCTAAGTGAAATAAGCCAGTCAGAGGAAGATAAATATCACAGGATCTCACTCATTTGTGGAATCTAATAAACAACATAACTGATTAATAAAAATAGATTCAGAGACAGAGAAGCATGGAACAGACTGTCAAACTTCAGAGGGAAGGCAGGGGATGGGAGTGGTCATAAGAGATCAACCAAAGGACTTGTATGCATGCATATAAGCATAACCAATGGACACAGACACTAGGGGGGTGAGGGAATGTGCTGGGGGTTGGGGGTGGCCTGGGAGTGGTCAATGGGGTAAAAAGGAGACACACATAATTCTATATATAACACTTTATACAATAAAAAATTTTTTAAAAGTCTAAGTCCCTTGACACTCTCATTAATTTCCTTGAAGCTTTCATTAAGTCCCTTGAAGCTCTCATGAAGGTCCTTGAGTAACCTTATAAACATTGTTTTGAACTCTGTATCCAGTAGCTTGCTTGCTTCCATTTCTTTGATTTTAACGTTTCTTTGTCTCCGCATTTTGGCTGCTTTCCCGTGTTTGTTTCGGAAGAATTGACCTCCAAGCCAATTGGCTGTGAGGACCAGCTGTGTCTACAATGATAGACCTGCTGTGCAGGAGACACCCCTATGGAGAATGATTGCTTCAATTGAGCTGTGGTGCTCTGAGTCTGTCCCTTTAGTGTGTCACTTGTGGGTGTGTAGAACTGTAATCTGCTATGATCTGAAGCTGTCAACTGGG